CTGGCGGGGAGAATCCGTCTCCCGGCTGCCGATGCCCATCCTCTCTCTCCAGGAGGGTCTGGCCCCAAGGGCTCAGACCAGTCGGGAGCAGCCGTTTCACCTGCAGCACCAGGCCAGGCTGTTTGCAAAAGCGTAGCTGTTGCGTTCTCACCGGAGCACTTGCACTCTCCCGAGGGACTGGATTCTCTGGGACCACTTTGCAGACAGACCCCGATTCCCACTGCTGCCGTCAGCTGGAGTTTTAGCCTTGGATTTCATGGGCAGAGCTGGACAAAGCACTGCTCACCCACAGCGTGGGTTGCATGTTCCCATCTGTTGCTGTTAGGCAAGAGCGGATTTAGGAGAATTGTGGGAGTGTTCCTGGCTGGGGGAGAGGGACCCCCAGACTCACAGGGGCACATGGCCAGCTGAGGAGACTTTGCTGACCTTGAAACAGCAGAAGCTCAGATGCACCCACATAGTTTCACTTGCCAAACTATGGGCCTTCAGGTCTTCATTTGAGAGAGCAGAAAAGCAGTGATAAAAGACCTATTTTTTCTCTTAATCATGAGATTTTCTCCTTAAGTTACGTGCTTTACAGGAGGAGTGTTACAATAGGTAGTGGCAACAGGTTGGAGGATCTTCAGTGGCTTTCAAGAGGCTGATTTTCACAAACTCGTAACAAATACAGACTATCATATTTTCCACTTCTGAAACTTTTTCTGGTATGAAGCAACCATAATTTGGTGGCCCAGAGGGATACTCTGACCACTCGAGGTAGGGCAACGCTGCTCCATTTCAAAGCGAAAAAACAAACGGCCTGTATTTTGGGCTCGTGCCCTGCATTTTTTGCCTTCCCCACAGGGAAAGCTCCCATGGCAGTCACAGGAATCCCGTGGGATTGATTGGCAGAGTTTGACTCTGGACTTCGGGAGGAGCACTGCTAGTCCGGGGATCTGTGACTGTGAGGAACGTGTGTGTCCCAGTATAGCCCTGGGAAAAGCTGGTGGGCTGAGCAGCGGGAGTTAGTACATCCCAGGGACAGTCCCTGGGATGTCTCCAGAAGGACTGGGGAGAAAAAAGGTTTCTTCACTATTTTTTAAGAACTTTTCTGCAGGTCAACCAATATTGGGTTTCTGGCTGCTGGAGGTACCACATATTCATCATTAGAAGATGCAATTTATCACAGTGTCTGGAGGAGGAGGGAGGACTATGGGCTTTATATCACCAAAACCCTCCTTACATCTTCAAAGCTGGGCTTGTACAGAGGTTAAGGTCAGCCTGGACGTCCGCAGTTCACTGCTGGGCTGTGGCTCCCTGGGAATAGCTTGTATGGCTATAGGAGCACGGTGGGCATGTTGCCATCCCTCCCTGTCCTGGAGCCAGACCCTCAGCTTCCGCAGTACTGATGAATTCAGGGACTGAGTAGGTCCTGATTGCATTTTATAGCGATACAGTCGATTTGCTGTGACACGAGACCACCCTGAGGCTCAGCCAGGCAGACCCATGTGCCCGAGTGCCTGGCTGGGTGAGGAGGGGAAGGGGCTGCTCAGCCAGCTGCCCACCCCGCTCAGCGTTAGCACTGCATGGAAACATGCCCCGGACGTTTGATGTTAAGGGGCAGGAAGGCTGGTTTATCTCCAGGTGCGGGTCTGCATCTCTCCGTGCCTCAGTTTCCTCACTTGCACATCTTTTCAGCGATACTGAGTGCCCTGGAAAAGGGTTTTGAGACTTGCAGGGTCTATAGATTTGGGATGGTTGTGCCAGTTATCCCTAAAACTTGTCTCAGAGTTAGGAATTGTCCCAGAGGAGTTTGGAGATGAACCTGCAATCCCCAATCCCACATCCCCTGGGGATTTTAGAAAGCTTATTTGCAGTTTCAAGAAGGAGGTTTGGTTTTGCTTTGCCTCTCCATAAAGCCACTCCTTTCTCAAGGTTTAATCAGAAAGACCGATTCTTTCTGTAACAGGCATATATTTAAGGTGGGTTTCTTCATTTCTTCCTCCTTTAACTGCTGCCATCCGGAGGCCAAGTGTTTTGTTTAAATTAGATATTGTTATTGACCTTCTTCCGCCTTGTTCCATATTTGTCCTCTGCTGGAAATTCAAAGCCTCTTTATTCGCAGCTCGGTTAGTACCGACTCCGCAGATGGTACATGTGGCCCTCACAGCACTTTTCTCTGGCAAGAACTTGTGTTTTAAAGAGAATAAGATCAGGTTTCAGTGTGTTATGCGGTGGGAAAAGGCAGCTTTACAATGCTGTATGGATTAAAAAATTACAGGCCATTGTTTTGCCCTCGCTGTCTGGAGCTGGCAGCGTGTTTCATGTGACACAGGTCCCTGTCACTCGCCCAGCGACTGTGCGGCCCCGGCGTCGGGAGAGCATCTCCTGTGTGCCAGGCCGGGCATCCCCCGGGGTAAATCACTGCTGCACCAGTGACTTGAGTGGGGCAAAGCGGGTTTGTGCCCGGAAGGGGTCCCGTAAGGTTCCTGGGTCCGTTGTGTCCCCTGTTCTGTGGCTTGTCACACTGCTCTGTTGCCAGCAAGCGTGTTCCTGCCCCAGCCCTGTGTGCTGCCCTCGGAGGGTCTGGGCACACCCAGCGCCGTCCCCCTGACCCCGGGAGCGGGTGCTGCCCCCGTCCCTGTGGCTCCATCAGATCTCACTGGCTGGGGATGGACGCTGCACGTTCACACCGCTTTTCTCTGGGTTGCAGGCTTCCCCGCTGAAACGTGTGACATGCGGTAGGAGCCAGCGCTTCCCACCGAAGAGCGAGTCTGGGTTGTACGGCACAGCCCAGGGTGCTGCAGGACGGACAGGACATGCACCGCATCATCTGCCTCCTCTCGGGACTCCTCTTCATCCTCGGTGTGACCCCCACAGACGGCTTTCCCCGGGCAGGGTAAGCTCCCTTTTTGCCTGCGTCTCCCACGCGTGCGCTGTCAGGCATCAAGGTGCATCCTCTCTGGGTGATGGAGAGCCCCATGCATGGTGCGTGGGCAGCGAGGAGGTGGGAAAAGGCTCAGCCAAGTCCTCCCTGGGCAGCCGGGGCTCAGCAGTCCTTGGCTGGTGTTTGTTTGCTTTGTCACTGAAGCGAAAAACCTCTCAGAGGAAATGCCCCATGCAGGGGACGCAAAGCACGCAGGGCTTTTTGTCCAGGAGGGTCAAAAGCTAATCAGGCCCTGAGCTGTTCCTGGGTTATCACTGTCTCTTTCAAGCGCATCCGTGCACTAAAATACGCGTGCAACCTTGCTGTCACACCCTGTGAGCCTTGCAGGTGAGCCAGCAAAGGAGGGTGCAGCCTCCCGCCTTGGAGAGGACGCACCGTGCAGGGGACGCAGGCGCAGAAAGCCCAGGCAGGCTCTTGCCTGCTGTGCCCTGTGCTCCCTGGGACGCTGCTGCGGTCACGGTCCCGCAAGCCCGGGAGTGGCAGCTCCAGCCATTCCCCTTCCCTTTCCGGGAAACAGGCCCGACACGGTGCCCTGAATCCCAGCACAGCCTGGGCTGGCACAGCTCGGCTCCCGCTGGGTCAGAGTGCGGTGGCGCAGTTTCTTCCCCCAGCCAAAAGGAGCTGGAACTCAATGCCCACCCCCCAGACACAGCTCACATTTTCTACGAAGTTTGTTTTTACACTGAAATACTCTCCTCTAGTGTTAAACCTTTTGCGTTCTGGTCGTGACTAAAACCACAGGCTGAATTCCTCGCTCGCACGCACAGGCTGCAGCTACAGCTTTATTCTATGTTTTCCCAAGCAAACAATTGCCGTCTAAAAATTGCATCTTCCATAGCATTAATCAGTGAGGCTGAAGGGAGTTTTGTGGGGTTAATGGAAGCCATCTGATGGCCATGCTAATTCCCAGGCTTTTTATTCTAGTTCCTAATTGGGCTGGGATGCTGAGACACGTAGGCGAGCTTCTCAGTGGGACTGACCTGCCTGGGCTGGAAGAGGTTGAAAAAGAAAGAACCCACTGTGCTGGGCTGACCCTGGCTGGAGGCTGGTGCCCACCAAAGCTGCCCCATCACTCCCCTCCTCAGCTGGGCAGGGGAGAGAAAATACAAGGAAAGGCCTGTGGGTCGAGATAAGGACGGGGAGAGATCACTCAGCAATTACCGGCAC